CCTCCCCCAGCTCCGGCTTCTCTCCCAGCTTTTCCAGCCTCAGTCTCGCCGCACCCCAGCTCTAGAATAGCACCCCAAATTCTACCCTCTGCTCTGCCCCACACCCCACATTCTACTCCCAGCCTCAGCTTTGCACCCTAAATTTCTGTCCCCTGCTCCACCTCCGCACCCCAGCTTCCCTCTTGCCCCATCTCCAAGCCTCCACGAAGCTGGGCTGCCCCTTCTCCCATCCGTCCATCAGCAGGATGTACCCCCAGGGAAGGCACCCGGTGAGTACGGTGAGTACGGAGACCCCCACCTCTGACTGGAGCAGGGGAGGACGAGGGAGGGGATCCCTACCTGCTGGTGCCCGGAACTCCCCCCCCCCCCCGTGTCCTTCTCCTCTATCCCCTCAGACCCCGCTGCAGTCCGGCCAGCCTTTCAAGTTCTCAGTCCTGGAAATCTGTGACCGGATCAAAGAGGAATTCCAGTTTCTCCAAGCTCAGTACCACAGGTGAGGGGGCCCCAGCTCTGGGCACTGGGAGGCCCCCGGGGGTGGGGACTTATGGAGGGGGCGTGGTCTGCAGGGCAAGGAGCGAGGCTCACCGGGAGGACTGGAGGGCTTCCTGGTGGAGACAGTGTTCCCAAGGTGACGTGAGTGGGTTTCTGGGAAAACCTTCCCTGAGGAAGGGTTTGTAGGCCTGGGCTCACCAGGGTTGGAGACAGTTTCTAAAGAAGTGTGGGGTGGGCAGGCAGCTCCTACCTGTCACGGAAACTGACCTACGTGGGGTGTGGTGAGGCGATCCCCCATTTTTGTCCAATCTTCCTGCCCAGCCTCAAACTGGAGTGTGAAAAGCTGGCCAGCGAGAAGACAGAGATGCAAAGGCACTATGTGATGGTAGGGTCCCGCCCTCGCTGCCCCCACTCTTGTGTTCCCTCTAAAGAGGGCAGCCAGGGACATGAGGAGCTTTCTCTGGGTGCCCTCCTCCCCAACCCCCAGTCTTGGACACTTGTCGGCCTCTCTGAGCCCAATGCCTTCTGGCTTCCCCCTCTGGGTCCCCGTGGGGTTCATGCTTCCATGCCTTGCCCTGAAGCTCCCACCCCTGAGGCTGGAGCAAGACTCCATGTACCCAGGATGGGGCCAGCTGTTCACACTGGTCAACACTGTCTCCTTTGCAGTACTACGAGATGTCCTACGGCCTCAACATTGAGATGCATAAACAGGTGACCGTTTGGAGTCAGGGGTTTGTGGGAAGGGATGATGCTCATCTGTGGGGCAGAGGCCATCCTCAGACATCTCTGGCGGTACCAAGGCCAGCAGAAGAGATTTTAGTCTTGTAACAAAAAGTATTCTCAGCATCTAGGGACAGTGGCCTGAGTGGGAACAGTAGAGGGAGTGGAGTGTCCCCATGGAGGAGGGCCTGGGCTGTAGGCCAAGGAGGGTTTGGAGGCAACTTTCCTTTCCAGCAGGGATTCCATTGTAGAGCCAAATCTCTGCAGTTGCATGACAGACCCCTGGGAGCCTGTGATGGACCCCCGGTGTCTGTGGTGGACCCTGGAAGCCCGTGAGTCTATGATAGACAATGGAAGTCTGGGAGCCTGTGGTTCACTCTGAGAGCCTGTGAGGGACCCTGGGAGCCTGGGGGCCTGTGATACACCCCCGGCGTCTGTTGGTAGTTTGTATCTGAGCCTGATGAAAGCCAGGGGGCCTGGGATGACTGTTGCTATGTGTTTGGCCTGCTGCCGTGGCTCATCTTGGTTCTGTATTTTGGAGACAGACCACGGGGTTTTGTGTCTGTCTCTGAGGGTTCTGAGATGGACTCCTAGTCTGTGAGTTCTGAGTCTCTTCACTAGGAGTCTGAATGTGGGCCCTAGGTTCTCAGATGGTCCTCAGGGTTCTGAGGTGGAATTCCAAGTTCTGAGCTACCTTGAAGGTTCTGAGATAGCCCTGAAGGTTCTGAGCAAGCCCTGGAAGTTCTGAGATAGCCCTGAAAGTTCTGAGCTAGCCCTGAAAATTCTGAGCAAGCCCTGAAAGTTCTGAGCAAGCCCTGAAAGTTCTGAGCTAGTCCTAAAAGTTCTGAGATAGCCCTGAAAGTTCTGAGGTAGCCCTGAAGGTTCTGAGCAAGCCCTGAAAGTTCTGAGATAGCCCTGAAGGTTCTGAGCAAGCCCTGAAAGTTCTGAGGTAGCCCTGAAGGTTCTGAGCAAGCCCTGGATGTTCTGAGCTAGCCCTGGATGTTCTGAGCTAGCCCTGAAGGTTTGGAGCTAGCCCTGGAGGTTTGGAACTAGCCCTGGGGGTTCTGAGGGCTCAGAGTTCTGAGATAATGCTCCAGGTTGTAAGGTTAACCCCATGGGCTCCTGAGGCTCCAGTGTGTGGCATTGGGGTTCTGAGATGTACTCACGTTGTGAGGATTGACTCCAGAGGTCCAAAGTCAACAGACCTGTAGATGAATGGAGTCATAGACTGTGCCCCCGAAGACCTAAGGCCCTATGGCAGATCCCCACACTTTGCTCCCTGTGTGCTGGGGGGCACTGGGGGCCAGCCTGAATATGTCCCTGGATTTCTGTGGGTCTCAGTGCTGATATGGGCAGTTAGAGGTCTGGTCCCCTAGTCCCAGATGGAGGACACAGGCCTGGTGGGGACCAGAGGCAACCACAGATCCCCCCACACACACACACAGACTTGAGAGCTGGTGCACTGTAGCTGGGCACACACATGCTTCACACAGCTTCTCTGGGGTGCCTTTGGGACACCGGGGCTCAGAAAGTGACTGCAGTGCCTGGGATCTGCCCTTCTAACTTCTACATCTCTGAGGGCTTCACAGGGGCACAGGAGGGGGTGCCTTTGACCTGCAGGACTGCGGCCTCCATTTCCCCATTGCATCAGTCAGCCAGCTTTGCAGATGCTCAGGGCTCTGGGGCTTGGGGTGGTGGAGGTGGCTGTCTCCTCCAAACCCATCCATCTTGTCTCTAGGCAGAGATTGTAAAGCGGCTCAGTGCAATCTGTGCCCAGATGGTCCCGTTCCTCACACAGGAGGTGAGTGTGCCTGAGCAGAGTGTGGGGAAGGAAAAATATGTCAAGGCCCTGTAGAAATGGAGGCCACACTGAAGGGAACAAAGACCAGGCACTTTCTGCTCTTCATGTGTCTGCATGTGCATGTATGAGGAGGCCAGAGGTCAGCCTCTGTGACCTTCCCCAGGTGCCATCTACCTTCATTTGCTTTTATTACAATTTTGTGTATTTATTTAATTTTATATGTCTGGGTGGTTTGCTTGCATTTTTGTCTGCGTACCATGTGTGTGCAGTACCCACAGAGGCCAGAAGGGGGAATTAGGTCACCAGAAGTGGAGTCACCGATGGCTGTGAGCCCCATGCGGGTGCTAGAAACCAAACCTGAGTCCTCTGTGGGAGCAGCTTATGCTGTTCACCACTGGGGCAACCTGTTATTTGTTTTTTAGGAGGGGGTGCATGGGCCATAGCAAACATGTGGAGATCATAGGACAACTTTTGGGAATGGATCCTCTCCTCCACAGCATGTGGTTTTCAAGGATTGAACTAAGGTCATTAGGACTTGGCTGCAGTCATCTTCGCCTGCTGAGCCATCTAGCCATCCCCACCCCCTTTAAATAGACTCTGGCCTTGAAATTTGCTGAGTTGGGGCTGCTGTCAGGCCAGTGAGCCCCAGGGTCTTCCTGTCTCCTTAGCATGCTAGAATTACAGGCACATAAAACCATGTTTGGCTCTTTCACAGGGGTCCTTGGGGAATCAAACTTGGGTCCTTATGGTTGCATGACAAGAACTTTACTGACTCGGTCATTTCTCTGATTCTGGCTCTCTGCTCTGGGTGGTTAGATAGAGCACACTTGTACCCACTGCTCACAGGCCTGCTCTGTGTGACCTTAGGCAGGGTACACGCCTCCTGCTTAGGGTATCCTGATGTCGTGGTGAGATGGGCCACACTCCTGAGTTAGCAGATCCAGGGTTAGGAAGTGGGACCCAGGGAGAGAACCAGACCACACTTCAGAGTGGGGAGTTGGGGAGTTCTGGAGGTAGATGGCAGGCCAGTCCTGTAAATGAGCTGCAGGCTGCTGAGCCAGGATCTTGAAATGGTTCAGAGTAATACATTTTGTTAGGTGTTCTTAGTATAGTGATTTTGAAAACAGAGTCAACGTGGACAGAGGGAACCCATGAGAATAGCTCACTGAAACACCAGAAAGCTCTGTGGCATGGGGACCCTGGGCTGTGATACACAGCTCAAAACAAGGTAGAAGACAGCCAATACCTACTCTGCCCCCACATGCAGAGAGACAGAGACAGAGAGACACACAGAAAGACAGATAAAGAGGCAGACAGAGAGACATACAGAGACACACAGAAACACAGAGACAGAGACACAGAGAAAGACAGGGAGACAGAGACAGACAGACACAGAGAGATACACAGAAAGACATAGAGACACAAAGAGACAAACAGAGACACAGAGACAGAAAAATAGGGACAGAGAGAGACAAAGAGACAGAGAGAGATGACAGAAAGACAGAGACACATAGCGGCAGAGAGAGACAGGCTGGGCCCAGGACCACTGCATCCCGGAACTCAGCGCCCCCTCCACCCGCAGCATCAACAGCAGGTTCTCCAGGCCGTGGACCGAGCCAAGCAGGTGACCGTGGGGGAACTGAACAGCCTCCTGGGGGTGAGTCACCCCAGCCCGCCTCTGCAGGGATCCCCAATTTGCCCTCAGCTCACCCCTTTCCCCGCCACTCGTCCCCTGGCCTCCTCTGGCCATCCTCTCCCCCTTCAGCAGCAGAATCAGCTCCAGCCGTTGTCGCATGCCCCCCCTGCACCTCTCACCCCGCGCCCAGCCGGCCTGGTGGGCACTGGGGCCTCGGGACTGCTGGCTCTGTCTGGGGCACTGGCTGCCCAGGCCCAGCTGGCGGCTGCGGCCAAGGAAGACCGCGTGGGTGTGGATGCGGAGGGGTCCAGAGGTGAGTGGGTAGCTCCGGGTGACATTTGCCAGGACCGAAATGGGGAGGGTAAGGGATAGTAGGGGCTGCAGCCCTGGGGTTCAGGTTTCATGATGTGTGTCTTTGGGAATACCACTAGTCCTCTCTCGGCATCTCTCTGGGAGGGTTCTGAGCTGGGAAGGAATTGTCAGTGCACCTTGGGGGTCCAACCTCTAATTCTGTCTGTTTTCTCTCTGCTTCCTGCTATCCGCTAGTGGACAGAGCTGCGAGCAGGGTGAGTTCATGTGGGCTGGCGGTGGTGGATGTGGGGGGCAGAGATGGGACACCAGAGCCACCCTACCAGGTGTACAGGGTGCTGGGGCTGGAACTCAGGGGCCTGGTGAAGACAGAGTCCACTCTGCAGCCCCAGCCTGCCTCTAGTTCTGGGGTTAGAACTGTATGCCACCAAGCCAGCTGTGGTTTATTTTATTTAATTTATTTAAGGCACAATCTTGCTTTGTAGCCCACGTTGCACTGAACTCATGGAAATCCCTCTGCCTCAGTTTCTCAAGTTCTACTATAATGGGTGTGTCTCAGCAAGACCCGACGGAGTCTTCATGCAGGCACATTCCTTGCTTGGCTCAGGCTTTGTCTGAGGGTTCACCTCCCCATTCTCAAGGGGTTGGCTATGGGTGTTGGGTGGATTACAAGTCACACTGTAAAGCATTTTTTTTTTTTTCTATTTTGGTTTTTCGAGACAGGGTTTCTCTGTAGCTTTGGAGGCTGTCCTGGAACTCTGTAGACCAGGCTGGTCTTGAACTCACAGAGATCCGCCTGCCTCTGCCTCCCGAGTGTGGGGATTAAAGGTGTGAACCTCCACTGCCCGGCCTGTAACACATTTTTATAGGACTCGGTTTCCCCCATCTAAACAGAGCCAGAGAATTTAGCACTGGGGAGTGGTCAGGGTGGAGCCTTGCCCCACAGTGAGAGGCACTCAGTATTGGCTGGACTAGGGTATAGTCTGAGAACCCACCTCAGGCCTTTTACCCCTCCTTGTCTCCTGGCAGAGTGCTTCCCCCTCCCCACCGGAGAGTCTGGTAGACGAGGAGCATCATAGTGTCCGAGGTGGCAATGGGAAGCCACAGAGAACAGAAGACAAGGATCTCTCAGGGCCTTATGTGAGTTCATGAGAGACAAGCAGAAACTGAGCTGGACAGAGATGGACCGGGACTTGCCCCCGAGCAGATTCTTGGGAACTGTCCATGATGCTCAGTCTGTATAGTCTTCTGTAGCCGCCCATCTCATGTGGAGCACCTACCAATCAAAAGACACTTTGTCCTGCCAGGCTTCGCTGCTAAGTGTCTGTAGCCAATGGGACATGCAGCTGTTTTGATACATTTCCACTGTGAGCTTAACTGTGGGTGTTGCTCAGAGAGGTAGAGCACCTGCCTAGAATCCCCCAGTGAGGGGCTGGGGCCTTGGCTTAGGGACAGAGGGCTTCCAGGAGACGCTAAGTGCCACCCTCAGCAGCGCCAGGGAAAGTGAGCTTGGGAGGGAAGCCAGCGGCAGTAGTTGTGTATAATTTAGTTCAGGGTGTGCCCTTGGGTGCTCCCTGTGTATCCAAGTGTGATCTGTCCTTTTGTCCAGTCAGGAAAGGCATTTTCAGCCTCTGGGACTGAAGCAGGAACTTGGTGTTCCTCCAGAGGGCAGTGAGAGCCGGAGAAGGTTATAGAGCAGAAGTAGTGAGGATGAAGGTGGCTCCCTGGGTGAGGATGGTCAGGCTTCCCGGAGGCAGCAAGGCTGGGTGCAGGGATGTGGTGGGTCAGAGACGGACAGACAGGCAGACAGACCTGCCTGAGAGGTCAGTTGTGTTCAGTGGAGGTGGCAAGAGGGCTGGACACGGTGTGGAGGCAGAGGCATGACAGAGTGTTGTGTCTCCCAAGGAAAGTGATGAAAACACGAGCGACTATAACCTGGTAGTGGATGAGGTGAGATGCTGGGCCTGGGCAAGGGAGGGGTGCAGGGGAGGGAGAGAATTCCTGTCTGCCTCTGGCAAGGTCAGACTGGGGACATGTGGGGCAGACAGTTTGGAGGATGCCTACTACACTACACCACAGTGGAGACACTGAGACCCACAGTGGAAGTGGGCTACCCATTTCCTTGGCTTCAGACTCCCCAGAATTGAGGCCAACCCTCTCCCCTCGAGGAGGCTACCCCATCTGCTGTGGAGTGGGGGGCACATAGCCACTGTGGGGGTTTCTCTCTTCACTCACTCCCCACTCAATGTCACCTTCTTGAATTCAGGACCAACCCTCAGAGCCACCCAGCCCTGCGACCACCCCCTGTGGAAAGACGTCCCTGTGCATGGCTGCCCGCAGGGACCTAGCAGACAGCCCAGCCTCCTTGGCCTCCAGTTTGGGCTCACCACTCCCCAGAAGCAAAGACCTAGCCCTGGTACAGAAGGTGGGGGGTGTGAAACTCATTTTATTCATTCTGGGGTGGCCTTGAAACAGTGCAATCAACAGATCAGCCAGGCTAGGGCAGTCTAGACTTTCTCGTTTGTTTTTGTTCGCTTGCTTTCATTTTTTGTTTGCTTGGTTTTGGTTGTTGGTTTTTGGTTTTGTTGTTTCTGAGGCAATATTTCTTGGCTGTCACCTCTTCATATAGTCTAGGATGGCATTGAATTTCTGCTTTTCCTGCCTCTACCTCCCCAGTACTGGGGAGACAAGTGACTTACCACACCTGACTGTTTCCCCGTGATTCTTTGGGCCCCCTCATATATTTCCCAGAAGACTCTGCTGAGTCTCAGGAAACATTTTAAAAGCAACTTGGTGACCAAGCTGGGCAAAGAAAGAGGACTGAGTTGAGTCGCTCACTTCCTGCAATGATGGGGACATAGCCTTAATCCTTCAAAGTGCCCCTCCCCTCCAGAAGTCCCTCTTGGGCTCCCTCCCGGGTCTTGCCCTGAAATGTCTAGGCCTTTCTGGCTCCTGTAGGTTGTCATGACAACTGCCAGCAGTTGTGGGGTCCCTTGTTAACTAACCCCCTCCCCACACAGTGAGATCTTGCCCCAGAAAATCTTGCCCTTGCTAGAGCAGGGCAGCTCTAGCTGACTGGAGAAGCCCCCAAGGGTATCCCTTAGCTCACCAGGGTCACCAGAGGATGGCAGTCAGCTCAGGGCTAGCCACGGCTACCTGAGCCTTGTCTCCCAAAATGTGCCTCCTAAAAGCAGAGGCCTGGCTGGTGGCCCCTTTCATCAAGTCTCCCCTGGGGCCCAAGGGATAGAGGTGGGGATGGGCCCCACCTGGGGCTGGGACCTTTGGGACCTCAGGACCCACTCTTCTGGCCATCTGTCAGCTTCTTTGCTTTTTTTTTTTTAAGATTTTATTTATTTATTATGTATTATACATTCTGCTTCCATGTATATCTGCACACCAGAAGAGGGCACCAGATCTCATAACAGATGGTTGTGAGTTACCATGTGGTTGCTGGGAATTGAACTCAGGACCATGGAAGAGCAGCCAGTGCTCTTAACCGCTGAGCCATCTCTCCAGCCCCCGCTTCTTTGCTTTTTAAGACATGGTCTCACTGTGTACTCAAGGCTGGCCTGGAACTCACAGAGATCCCCCTGCCTCTGCTCTGAAGTGTTGGGATTAAAGGCGTGCGCCACCTTACATAGCCCAGACTCTTAAGTTAAAACATTTTTTTTTTGGTTTTGTTTTTTTGAGACAGGGTTTCTCTGTATAGTCCTGGCTGTCCTGTAACTTGCTCTGTAGACCAGGCTGGCCTTGAACTCACAGAGATCTGCCTGCCTCTGCCTACCACCGGGCTCTCAGTGAACATTTTTAGAAAAAAAATGTGTATACACAAGTGCCATGGTGCATGTGTGGAGATCAGAGTTCAACGCTGGCCAGTCAGTTTTCCCCCTCTACCACGTGGGTTAGGGATTGAACAGATTGTCAGGGTTGGCTGCAATCACCTTTACTTACTGAGCCATCTTGCTAGCCCAATTGCCTCCGACTTTGTCACTATCTCTGGGTGGCACATTTCTGTCCCCAAAAGTTCCCACCTCTCTTCATGCACCCTCTACTATGGCCCCAGTTCACACTCACACTCCTGAGGGTGTGTTTGCACTATGGACCTGGCCATAGTGTTTGCACTATTGGCTTCATGCCCACTGAGTGCTGGGACACGAGCTGGCCATTGTCTGCTCCCCTCAGTTGATTCCAGAGTGGCTCCTGCAGTGACTAGTGACCCCTGTTCTCCACAGAATGATCTTCCAGCAGGCACTCCTGCCTCCAGGTCATGTGGCCCCTCTCCACACCAGGATTCGTCTACCCCAGGGCCCAGCTCTGCTGGTCACCTCTGTCAGCTGGCTGCTCAGTCAGCTCCATCCACAGACAGCATTGGTGAGTCCATGCCTGCCTGGCACATCTCTGTTCCAGAGGGACTCCCCAAAATAGGTAGGATGAGAGAATTGGTGGTGGTGGTGCACTTCTTTCTTTCTTTCTTTTTTTTTTTTTTTCCCGAGACAGGGTTTCTCTGTGTAGCTTTGGGCCTTATCCTGGCACTCTCTGTGGAGACCAGGCTGCCCCCCAACTCACAGAGCTCCGCCTGCCTCTGCCTCCCAAGTGCTGGCATTAAAGGCGTGTGCCACCAACGCCCGGTGGTGGTGCACTTCTTTAACCTCAGCACTTGAGAGGAGGGGCAGGTGGGTCTCTGCAAGTTTGAGGCCAGCCTGGTCTACATAGTGAGTTACAGGTCAGCCTGAGCCACATAGTTAAGACCCTGTCTGGAAAAAAAAAAATACAAAAAGTGAAGGGTGAGAGAGGCTGATGGATTGGACCCAGACCCCAAATTCACCACCTGGAACTACAGGTGCTGCCTCTCTCTGGGCCTCAGTTTTCTTGTTTTGGCTACTGCTCAGACTAGGAAACTGCAGCCCAGGGAGACAAGGTGACCCCCAGTTTAATGACTGTGACACAAGCCTGGGCGTTTACCAGCTATGTGACCTCAGGCAAGTCACCCAACCTTTCTGAGCCTTCATTTCTTCTCTTACAGAGTCTGGGTTTTTGTGGGATGTGTAGGACAGGGAAATGGGATCTGGGTGTCTGAATGTGTGTCGTGGCCCTTCTCACTCAGCCCTGAGGAGTCCCCTGACCCTGTCCAGCCACTTCACTTCGTCCTTCAGCTTGGGCTCCCACAGCACCCTCAACGGGGACCCCTCCATGCCCAGCTCCTATGTCAGCCTCCACCTGTCCCCCCAGGTCAGCAGCTCTGTCGTGTACGGACGCTCACCCCTGGTGAGTCCTCGGGTCTCTGGGGAGGGGGTTAGAGAAACCTGCTTCATCCAAAGAAATCAGAATTAGTAAAGAGAGGCGCCAAGGCTGGGGCTCAGTGGTAGAGCACTTGCCTGGCATGCATGAAGCTGTGGGCGACATTCCCAGCACCACTTAACTGGGTGTGTGGTGCATGCCTGTCACCCCAGCACTGGGGAGCTGAAGGCAGGAGGATCAGGAGTTCAAGACCAGCCCACACCACATAAGTCTCTGTCTCAAAAATGAGTGGGTGTGGGGTGCACAACTTTAATCCCAGCACTTCAGAGGCAGAGGCAGGTGGCTCTCTGAGCTTGAGGCCAGCCTGGGCTACACAGAGAAATCCTGTCTTGAAAAAAAGCAAAAAGCAACCCTCCACCCCCCCAAAAAAAAAGAAAAGAGAGGGGAGACAGGAGGGGCTGGTCCGGCAGGTGTGTAGGAAGATGATCCGAGTCTCACCCAGGTTAGCACATGCCACTGAGGACAAAATCAAAAGGAATATGGCTAGGTTAAAAATCCTGGCCCAGGCCTGGCGGTGGTGGCTCACGCCTTTAATCCCAGCACTCGGGAGGCAGAGGCAGGCGGATCTATGTGAGTTCGAGACCAGCCTGGTCTACAAGAGCTAGTTCCAGGACAGCCTCCAAAGCTACACAGAGAAACCCTGTCTCGGGAAAAAAAAAAAAAATCCTGGCCCAGGAAGTTATTTTAAAAGTCCTGTAGCAAGCTTGCAAGTGTTTCTGCGTGCTTGGGGAGGGGCTGAGGGAGAGACGGGCCTGGGATGGGACCCGGGTGAGGGGGGTGCCTTGGGTCACGTCTTTGGCTTCTGGCAGATGGCATTTGAGTCACACCCTCATCTCCGGGGCTCATCTATCACCCTGCCTGGCATCCCCGGGGCAAAGCCGTGAGTAGCGTGTGGGCTGCGCCATCTCCAGGGTATGCGTGGCGCGTGGGTCCCTGTCTTCCTGGGAACGCACTGGCATCTCAGGCACCTGTGCTGGGGTGGGGTGGGGTGGGGTGAGCCGCCCGCTCGTGTCTACTGCCCCCGCAGGGCCTATTCCTTCCATGTGTCTGCGGACGGCCAGATGCAGCCGGTGCCCTTCCCATCGGATGCCCTGGTGGGCACGGGTATCCCCCGCCACGCGCGGCAGCTGCACACGCTGACCCATGGCGAGGTGGTGTGCGCTGTCACCATCAGCGGCTCCACACAGCACGTTTACACGGGCGGCAAAGGCTGTGTGAAGGTGTGGGACGTGAGCCAGCCGGGCAGCAAGACACCCGTGGCTCAGCTGGATTGCCTGGTGAGGCTGAGGCCTGCCGGGTGGGCGGGAGCTGTGGGGCCAGGGCGAGCCTGTGTGGCTGGGGATACCTGGGTGGCCCTGACCCTGCCCTGGCTCGCTTTCACTGAGGCAGAACCGCGACAACTACATACGCTCCTGCAAGCTGCTGCCTGATGGGCAGAGCCTGATCGTGGGTGGTGAAGCCAGCACCCTGTCCATCTGGGACCTGGCGGCACCCACACCGCGCATCAAGGCTGAGCTGACCTCATCCGCCCCGGCCTGCTATGCGCTGGCTGTCAGCCCCGACGCTAAGGTCTGCTTCTCCTGCTGCAGCGACGGTAACATCGTGGTCTGGGATCTGCAGAACCAGGCCATGGTCAGGTGTGTAGGGCGGCCCGGGTTGGGGTGGGGGATGCACGGGTGGATGTGGACGCCTGCCCTCCACCCACAGGCAATTCCAGGGCCACACAGATGGGGCTAGCTGCATAGACATATCGGACTACGGGACCCGGCTGTGGACTGGGGGCTTGGACAACACTGTGCGCTGCTGGGACCTGCGTGAGGGCCGTCAACTTCAGCAGCATGACTTCAGTTCCCAGGTGCACCCGCAGTCCTGT